AAAATGAAAATTAAAAAAAGTAAAACACATTAAAATTAGTTTAAAACTTTACAAATAGTTTTTAAGAATTATTTGGTGTAATATTTTATGATTTTTGTATGAATAAAGATATCTTATAATTATTGTATGACTGTCATTATTGTAAGAATAATTATTTGTGTGCGGTTTTTTTGACTCATGTAGATGGATCGGCAATGGATGTACGCTGACCGGCGGTCCAAAGAGTTTATTGACGGCGTGCACTATTTTTTGAGAGTGGCCGAAGCTAACAGGCAAAGGGGTTTTATTTGTTGTCCATGCAATAAGTGTAAGAATCAGAAGGAGTATTCTGCATCCAGGACTATTCATTTCCACTTGTTTGAGTCGGGGTTCATGCCAAGCTATAATTGTTGGACATCCCACGGAGAGCAAGGTGTTGAAATGGAAGAAGATGAAGTGGAAGACGACAATATTCCGGACTTTGCTCAGTACGTTGGATTTGAAGGAAATCAAACGGGCGAGGAGGAAATAGCTGCTGATGGTAACGACGTTGCGGATGATCTTAGTCAGATGTTCCTTTGTTAATTAAGAAAATCTTGTTATGTTAATTGCTACTACGAATCATAGCTTTAAACTCCATGTAGGGCTTGGTATCGGTTCCGTCATTTGGTCCGCGGCAAATGGAGAGAAAGACTTAGGCGGAAGTTCAAATTTCCTGTGAGTACACATGCTCTACATTTATATTTCTCCGATTCAAATACATACAAGTGTATATTAATTAGATCTCTCGTTGTTTGTCATTTATTTGTAGTGCGCAAAGCAAAAGCAGGGAACTAACTTGTGCGGCTATTACGTGTGCGAGTATTGCCACTGCCTTGCAGACCAAATCATCACCACAAGAGAGCTCGATGTACATACAAATAAATTCAAAATTTCATTACGTAGCGATTTCTTGTTTAATTACTAATCAATTTCATACATTCATATAGTTTATTCGCATTACTATATTCGCATGAGGGATAACCTGACCACACACAAGGAATTTATCACGGCGGTTCAAGAACAACTCATGGGATTCATCAACGAAGAAATCCTTGATCCCAAGGGTGAATTCTACTACGACGGAAACACAATTTACCGGTCCTTAGCTTCTGAGCTAGCAGCGAGTACTACTACGTCGAAATCGTAGCTAGCTAGGACATATAATGGATTGTAATTAATACATGACTACATATGTTTCTATATGCATGTGTACACATTTTCTATAATGTAAATATATTTTGTTCATATATATATCTATATACATATGCATTTGCATAACATATATATGTATAAATACATATATATTATGCATGTATATACATATAATATAATATATATATATATATATATATATATATATATATATATATATATATATAAACCATGCAGCAACAGGGGCATGCAAAAAAAAAGGTCAGCTCGATCTTTAGTCCCGGATTGGTACTCCCGGTTTGGAAACCGGGACTAAAGGGGGGTTACGAACCGGGACTACAAAGGGTTTCTTCACCAGTGTACCGTGAAGTACCGATACCTCGAGTTATTTTTTGTTGGATCGGAGCAAATCTCTAATTTGAGAAGTTTATTGTTGGCGTCTTCTCGTGGTACTGTGGATTGGGCAGAGTCTATTTTACATGTCTTTTCTGAGTTCTGATCCACTTTAAGCTTCAAGCTTCAAGATACTTCTGTTTCACGTCGTTTCATATTACATATAGGCAGCACGATTGCAAATGGACATGTTCGAAGGAATACGGTTCTATACTCCTTAGGAGTAGATAATTTTACCATTCTTTAAAAATTACCATGAGGTACTACGTACACTTTATACTATAAAATTGGTACCTCCAAATACTAATTATCTTGAGATATAAAAAATTTAGAATAAAATTTAGAAACCTTGAGGTACTTTTTTAAAGACTATAAAATTTCTCCTAGGAGTAGGTACACCCGTACACCTGATCTCATCCAACATCCATCAAACCCAAGCCCGATCAAACGGTGTTTATATTTACCCGTTTAGATTTTGTACAGGAAAAACCTGACCGCATGTACCGGCCGAGTGCATGCATGCAGAAATTTGAAAATAAAGGAATGTCATTTTCTTCCTGTCCTTTCAGTCCAAACTATTTATTAGTATCAACTAACGGATATCCAATAAGAAGGGGAGTACGTATACATGGTAGTACAAAATGGCCATCCTTCGACATCCTTGTTGGAATTGTGCTAGAGAAAAGCTTGATTTTTTACTTCCAAATAACCATAAAATTATTGCTCAATTTTCCTTTTATTTTCTCCGTTGTGTAATATCAATACGAAACAAATGCAGCCAGAATACAACCACAGAATACGAGCAATTGACCAAAAGATAGAACAGCTGACAGCTCAGTCCAATATCGCCAAGTAGTAGGACTAGGCTCCTTAACATCTATACAGAGACTGAGAGACCCATACTTGGTTGGAATCGTGGACATGGAACAAGATGACCATTTGCATCACAACTAGCAGTGCTCTGCGTGTGGCACACTAGCAGATAAGATGCAGAACACCAACCTCTAAGCTGTAGAAGTTGTGGACGGTGCGCCGTCAGTGGATCCACGGTGCTCCAAGCCGATCAATGCCAAGCAGCATGGCATCCGATCGAAGGCAACTACATTCCCAGCGTCTCACATGCCCCCAGGAGTCTAGGAAATTCATCATCCTGCTCATCATTATTTATGCGCGACGAAAACACACCTTCCTAAAGAACCCAGCTAGCTCTTATCACCAAGTCATCGCCCAACATTTGGATTGAGCATTTTTTTCACTTTCTGTAACCTCTGGTTTTCTAGCTAGATGTGTTACTACTTGTATGAATGAGTTCTACTTGTATGAAGAGAGATGATGTTCTACTTGTGGAGTTCTGTCATGGCACTTATCTCGCTTTGTTCTTTTGTTACTTTGCTAGGTAGTTCTCCACTTCATCACTTAGCTAGATAAACCCATTCTTCTTTATCTTTTTGCTGGCCCATCATTTTCTACTGCCTTTTATGGCCACGGTATAGCACAACATATGTAGTGTTGTCTGCCATCAAACAACATTTACTTATATTATTGGACAACTTTAATGATTGTGGCGGATGAACCTGTTTAATTGGTTTATTTGAGGTTTACGCTTGCCAACTTTTGTCAATGGCAACAATTCTCTATTGCCAAAATTTTAGTCAAGTTGCATGTTTGGATATTGCTACAAAAGAAAAATTGGCAAGAAAGGTTAGGCTATTATTTGGTTTGCTCCGCAAGAGTGTTACTATGTGCTTGACAAAATCAGCTAAACCAAAAATATTGGCAATACCTTTTTTCTTATTGGCAACATCAATGTTTTGGTACGCTTGAGTTTGGCAAAGAAACAAACACACCCTTATATATCAAATATACTTGACTGAAACAAAGAAATATAATTTTAGCCTAGACGTTCATAATTTTACTGTTAGCAGTCCAAATTAAATGTCAATGTTGAAATTTTAAGAAAAGGTAAAAAAGAACCAAACATAATTCGCATAATTGTATGCTAAACTTAAAAAATAAGATGCAACTCACACAGACAGTCTTAAATCAATGAATGGTTATCTTTACATGGCAGTATAGTACTAGTTGGATGGATAAAACGATAATAAAAACGTAGGATCGAATAGCAAGAACTAAACCAACCAGAGGGGGTGAATGGTTGGTATACCCAAAAACCGAAAACTTTTAGCGGAAATAAAAGTTACCCTCGAAATCGACGGATCACGGTCTGACCGAAGTTGTTGCGCCGGTCTGACCACCTGGAACACGTCGGTCTGACCGATGTAGATCGATTGGTCGAACCGCCGAGATGCCTGCCGCGCCTGTCGCCGCCGCCGGTCAGACCGCCCGTATGCCGCCGGTCGGACCGCCGCGTGCCGCCGGTCTAACTGCCGATATATAGTCGGTTAGACCGCCGAAACCCGATGAAACACAAATCTAAGAACTCTTAAAGTGGATTACGACTTTATTACTTCTCTCTATGTTTACAAAGTGCACCAACAGCACTCCTTACAAAAATTTCGACTAAACTCGAAACCCTAACTCAAAACTCAACTCAATTGCTCTCAAAAGCGATACAAAAGCGATATAGGGAAGCCTCACGCTCCCCCTCTATTTATACCCGAGGTAGGCAGCCTAAAGCCACGAACCAAACTCATACTAGGAGTCTTAAACACCTTAGGAAACCCTCTAGTACAAGAAAGAAACTTTACATAACCAATCGTACCAAATTTGGACTCCTTCCAAATTCGACTCCACATCCCATACGCACACAATAACTCCATTGTATGCCATATGGAACCTCCATTAACCACGTGCATCAACTCTAGCCTTAGTATCCCGCATGATCTCTGACCACCACGAACATCGTCTTATCCCCAAGCCGACTCCCGGTCCATCACCGCAAATACTCTCCCGAGACATCGAGTCACCTACACATGGAACAAACAAAGAAACCATATTCCGAGACCAAGCTATCTCCAACTTAACTCATTAGTAGCAAACAACAGTATTACATACGTATAGTATCCATCTAGAAGCCATAATCATAAAATAATCACGGATATCCAAATAAACAACCCGAAACCGAAATTGACACAGCGTCGGCTGGTCAGACCGCGCAATACACGCCGGTCTGACCGGCAACCACTGCCCGGTTTGACCGGTCACATGAAATAACAGTATCTATGATTCACCTGTAAATCCAATCATCTCCAAAACCACTTCGTGAATAAATTCCAAATAACAAAACCAATAATCTCCAATGCCCAATTGTTCATCATAGAATAATAATCAAAAACACCTTTGATTTTAAAAAAAGATAATATAGTATTAAACAGGTCAAGTAGACCTATTCTAAAAATACAACTTTTTAATTATAAATCTTTAAACTAAAACTGCAATCATTTTTAGACGACGAGCTTTTGTTTTTGCTTACCTACCTACAGTGGCTAACTTTGTCTCCTCTCGATCGTCGATCAGAAGTCAAATTAAGGAAGAGATTGACTGCCAAAAAAGAAAACAAGTAAAAAGTTGCTCCCTTGAAGATAAAAAGTTTGTTATAATGGTTTGGTGCATTGTCTCCAGCTTTAGCCAAATTAAATTGTCATCTCGCCTGTAGGCTATAACTGGAATGGGAGGATAGAACACGGCTGCGACTGATCAGGACTATAGCAGCTGATGGAGTAGCAGAAAGGATGGACATTTGGGTCAAGTCGAAGCTCAGATGCTTAGCTCTCAGCACTGCTGTCTGTCAGGGTTCAGAAGACGCTGGAAGATGTTCGGCGGTTGTGTTCATGCTTTCCGCAGCTCACTTGCTTCCGTGATCACGAGAACCTAAACAAGCACACGGCGTAATGGAGCTCCTGATGCTTCTCATACCAAACTTGCATGCTTCCTTGCTGTTGGTGTAAATTTGAGGAGTATACTATATATGGGTTTGTTCAGCTGCCTGTTTTACGGCTGCGGCACAGACGGCACCAACAATGCCACACGCACGCGGCGGCGCAGCCGCAGCCGCAGCCAGCTTGCTGAACAGGCCCAAATATATTCCAAGCTCTCGGTTTCCTTGTTGGTGGCTTAGGTTGGTTTATATTACATATGGGTAGCACAATTATTGCACGCTGTTCTTATGCATAGTAATAAAAAAAAGCTGGAATGTAACAAATGAGCGAGAACAAATGGACATATCGGCTAATTTGTTCAGTACTTCTTTTTAGAAAAATAAAATTGTTCAAGAGAAAAGGTTCATTTTTACTACCATATCAGGGTAAAAGTTGTTGGTCAAATTAATTTCACTTAACTTGCTTTATTAGTTTTTTTCCCATTTCAACGTCTCTCTTGTTATTTTCTCCGTCGTGTAAACTCAACAGGAGAAACATAACAGTCAAAATACAGCTAAAGATAGAACAAACCATCAGATCAGTCCAATGATCCAATCATCCCCAAGCAGAGCTAGAGTCTTCATCATCTCTAGAGGGAGCCATACTCCGCTAGAATCAGACAGCGAACTACAGATTCTACGTAACTAGCAGTGCTCTGCGTGTGATGCACGAGCAGGTAAGCTGAGCTGAAACACCCAGGAAGCAGTAGACGTTGCACAAGCTGTGCTGTCTGTTGAAGCGCGGCGCTCCAAGCAGAGCAACGCCAAGCAGCATGGCATCCGATCGAGGGCAACTGAATTTCCGACGTCTTCCATGCCCAGGAGTACTGTAGGATAAAGTCATGCTGATCATTATTTCTGCCCCCCCCCCCCTCCCCCAGAAAAAAAAAACCCAAGCGGTTTGTGCTTGCGCCAACATCGATCACGATTTCATATCGCACAGCAATTGGCTCGAGAATTGTCGTCGTTTTTGTTACATGCCAATGTCTCAATCTCTTGCATGGTTGGGGGTACTAACTATATGTAGCTCAGCTATATATTCACTTGTGGATCTGTCCCACATAACACAATAATTAGTCAGTTATTACTCGTACATTTAACCTGCCTAGCTCCACAGCTAATGGAAACGTACAAAGAAAATAAGACATCATTGGCAGTACAGATTAGAAATTTAGAATAGCAAAAGATTGCTCTGAGCCAAGTTGGCATATCAGCATTCAGCTCTTGGCAATAACTAGACTGATATCACTATATAGTTAGTTCTGTTGCCTTTTTGTTTCAACGTATCTCCAGTACACTTCAAAAGCATATATACTAGTCGTTTATCTGTTCTTCCCAACCAGGTTAGAAAAGTACGGACCACCACCCTAAGAAACCAGAAAAAAAAAAAAAGGCCCATGAAGCCGTTTCCTTTAACCTACTTAGCCCAGGCCCACTCGGGCGGCCCCACGGACAACGTGTTCGTTCGTTTATACCCATCTCCCTCGCCCCTTCCGCGCCGCCATCCTTGCCGCCGGCCACCGGTGAGAGCCACGGCCTTTGCTTGCTGCTCGATTCGGTTTAATTTGCTGCTGCGTGGTGCTGTGCTCGTACGTAGTAGTAGTAGTGACAGGTTACAGGTACTCTCTTCTTGCTCACAATTTCGCAAAGGCCACCTCTCGTTTTCATTGAATCTTAATTTCCCTCTTCTTATTTTACTACATCTGATGACCTTATCTGTGTTTTTTACTATATAGTCCCGAGGCGTCCAAACTCCAGACGTCCAGACCTAGAAATCCATCCCCATCTCCTTCTCCGGCCGGGCACTGGGGAGCTACGCCGTGCCCCTTCCAACCGAGCGCCCCAGGTCCGCTGCTGCTACATCTGATTGTATCTTTATCCTCTCCGTTGGAAAGCCAATTTATTCTTCATTTTCTCGTTGTTCATCTTTGATATTTGCACAACTTGTGAAGTTGTGATACCATCTTTATCCTGCAGCAGGCCGGACGCTCCCTGGATTTACCGCAAAGCAGATCGAATCGGTTTGTTGCTGCTACGTGCTGGTACTCTTTCTTCCCCACAATCTAATCTTGCTAGCTAGTACCATACCCAAATCGCGGAGATTGTCTGTTCTTTCTTTTTTTTTTCCCTCTCGTTCTTTGTCACGCCCCGAACTAGTACCGACCGGAACTAGCCCGTGACGCTCTAAATTAACCTGTTAATCGATACCAGTCCCAGGAAACAGTGCTGGTATCACAGGAAGACGGAATATCACAACAACAGAGGTCTCTTTATTATAGAGTAGGAGTACAGTCATGTTGGGCTGCGGACAGATCCCAAGCTCACAACTGCATTATAAAAGGGAAGCGGAAGCCAAGACTTGGGCCAAACAACACAGGCGCGACTTGGGAACTAGGCCGAAACCCTAAAACTCATCGTAGCCGGCTTGCTCCTGGAAAAACTCCTCGTCAGCGAGATCCGCTTCATCTTCTTCAGCAACTGGGGGGGATTATTTATATAGAGCAAGGGTGAGTACAGGAGTACTCAGCAAGCCATGGGAAATAGTGTTTAATGCAGGCTTCAAGGGAAGGACTGTTGTTTTTGCAATTTATTTTATTTGAACTCTTTTAAAAAAAATCAACTAAGTGAGTGCTTCTCAAACGACACGGTTAAGACAGTGCGTCTCGTCCGGTCGGAGTATGTGCAATGTATCAATCTTTAAAATAGATCAAGATTGGCACCCGGCCAACAGCTTTCAAACGGCCACCCGGGCCTAGCTGATCCCATCAGTTGCAGATTTTTCCAAACATCGATCTCCTTTCCACAACAGCAATTTCACAAACAGTAGTCAAACAAAACTACGCTAGGAATCACCTCACATCCACCCATGACCGTGGGCATGGCTGTTCGAACAGTTTGTTAACCTCTGCAGAGGGGGTACACTTTACCCACACGACATTACTAACCCGGATCACCCAGCCCGTGGGGATCAGCCACGTCGGGAGACCTCCAAGCTTTCATGACAAGGCATTTCCAAAGCCGACACAGGTTTACCATATGCCGACGAGAGGGGTCCCAGACCAACAACAGGTTAGGTCCCAGACCATACTGTGCTAGGAAGCCCAGGGGTCCTCCCCGACACCACCCCGGCGAATCCACATGTCTCTCGGCATCAAGGCTCCCCTGATAAGCTAGTTACTCAGCCAGGGGTGTCCCATTCCACCCATGTGGTCGTACTTGTCTTATGTTCGGATGAAATTCTAAGGAAACGGTCCTTAAGTGCAAGAGCGAGAAACCGTACACCCGGTACGTTCCCCGGTCCGCGGTTTTGAAAAAATTCATTTAGTTCGCAAGCACCGACCCAGGTGTTGGGTTTTCCAAGTCTTTTTGTAAAACCCAAGTTTTACCCAAGAAGTTTTTTTTTTCAGATTTTAAGTTTGAAGGCGGCCGTCGATACACGTGCAGAGTGCACGATTTCCGAGGCGCAACTGGGTGGTTACAAGGGAACATGGTATAACAATTAACAAAGGAAGGATCAAATGCAACAAACTAGGTAGGTCCGCCAATCTGCCTTGCAGACGGGACAAACAGATTAAGTGCGATCCTATCAATGCATAATATTTTTCAAGCAACATAATTAAATTCAAATATAGGCTCAAGATGTTCAAAGGTGGCTTGCCTTGCTCGAGATCTGGAGCTTGATCCTCGAAATCCTCGTACTGCGGGTCTTCGGGCTCCGAAACTACGCGCAAAACGGGACAACTCAACAAACGGCGAAAATAAAGCCCTATTAATGACCTTTAAGCGTGCCATTAGATAGATCTCGAGATTTGAGGAATTTTGGAAGTTGAACGGAGTCAAACGGATTTACGGTTGGGAAGATATTGAATTTTTATGATTATTGGATTTTTGGTCTAAAGGAAAAGGATTTAATTAAATCCTTTTTGAAAAAGAAAAGAGAGGAAATGAAGGAGGGGGAAAATTAGACTTCCCTCGAGCGGCGAGGGCGCGGCCCGAGAGAAAAGGGGCGGCTCGGCCGAGCTAAATGGGCCGGCCGGCCCAAAAGGCGGCCCAAGGCGCGCGCGCGGGCAGGGAGGGGAGAGAGAGCCGGTGGGCCGGGTCCATCCCGCGTGGTCCCGGGTGGGACCCGCTTGTCGGCGACACGGTTCACCGTGCGGAGGGAGTACGCGGCACGCCCTAGGGTTCGGGGAGGGAGACGCGGTGCACGCGTGCGGTTTGCGGGGGATGCGGTGCGGCGGGCCCACGCGCAGCCTCACGGCTCACCGCGGACCATGCGCACGGGGGGGAAAAACGGAGGGAGCGGCTGGCCAGGTCAGACGATCCGGTCGCGGCCGAGGTGGCGCCGACGTGGCGCCTACGTGGCAGCCACGCGGGCCGGCGGGAGGTAGACGACGACGCCGGCCGGAATGGACGGCGGACGACAGCGGCGAGCGGCGGAGCAAACCACGGCGATACAGGCGAAAGCGAGCACACCGGGTGGTTGCACGAGACGAGGGGAGACGAGCCAACGGCTCGGATTCGCCGGAGGGAGTGCGTCGGCGGCGGATCGCGGCGGCGGCAACCGGCGGGGAGGGAAGAGGGAAACGGCGACGAGGTTACGAGGGGCCGATTCCCGGTGGCGAGAGCATCTACGCGGCTACGGGAATACGATGCTAGCGTTGGATTGGGCGGAGCTGCGCCGAGCGAGGCTGGCGACGAGCGGCGCTTCCGAGCTCGGGCGGCGACGGCGGCGAGCACACGGCGAGCGGCGGCAACGGTCGGGGCGACGCCGGCTAGCTACGGGGAGGCTACTCGTGCTACTACCCGAGTCTAAGGGGAGGAGATGAAACGAGGAGGGAGAACGGGGAGATGCACTACCGTGCGGGACGGGGCGCATGACGAGAGGCCGACGGCGCGGGAGTAATCTCTCCGGCCTCGGGCCGGGGAAGAGGAAGAAGAGGGCGCGCCCGGAGTCCCCTTCTGCGTCCTTGCTCGTGCCGGCTCCTTCGACACGCGCAACGACGAACGGCGACGGCGAACAGAGCACGGGAGGCGGCGGCAATGGCGTGGAGGTGAATGGGAGAGGAAAGGAAAGGGGGGAGCTCGGGTTTATAGGATGGCAATGTCGGTTTGGGAACCGACTTAGGGCGGTCAAAGGAGAGGGCTAGCGCTCGGCGGTCGCGGCCAAAGCGGCGACAGGGAGGAGGGAGGAGGATGACGCCGGCGGGAGGGAAAAAGGGGAAAAGAGGGAGAGAAAAGGGGGCTTGTCCCCTTGCCTCTTCGGGAAAAGGAGGAGGGAGCGGGGGTGACGCGGCAGAGGGAGGAGGAGCTCTGCCTCCATCCCTTGGCAGCTTGCGCGCGGAGTGGCGGGGGCCGGGCGATGACGACGGCGATGACGGCGGGGCGGTTTGGAGCGGGGCGACGACACGGGCGGCAGGCGCGGGCAGGCGCGGCAGAGGCTGACGGCGGCGGCGTCCAGGCGGTCGGCCACCACGGCACGCGCGCGCGGGAAACAACGGGCGGCGCGGCGGTTTGAGCGGCGCGGCTCGGGCACGCGCGCTGGCTCACGGGGCCGAGCGGCTACGCGGCAGGGCAGCGGGGCTGGGCGGCGCAGACGGCGCAGGCGCGGCACGGGCGGCGACCACGCGGCTCTCGCGCACGCGCGGGCAGAGCGAGGGAGCGGAGAGGGAGGGCTCGGCTCGGCGCGGCTCACGCGCACGCGCGCGCGGCGCGCGGGCAGAGCGGGGGAGGGAGGGAGAGAGAGAGAGAGAGAGAGGGCGCCGGGGAGGGAGGGGGAAATGGGCCGAGAGAAATTCGGCCCATCGAACCCGGGGGAGGCAAATTAGACTTTTGCGGAGGAATTGATTTGGGAAGGATTTGGATTCGGGATTGAACTCGGCGATAGATTGGGGATTTGAGATCTGAGGAGGCACGGACACTAGACAACAAGCAAAGAAACAAATTTCGCAGATAGGGTTTTAAGAGATAATTTTCCCGCTAGGCGCCACGACGGAACGGGCGCTACATTCTTACTGATATTTTCTGATGATTTTTGTTTTCCTTTGAAGTTTGTGGATCGACGAATCGACGATGAGCCTCTCGCGGCGCTTCCTGAATGTGATTATGGACAGCCGCATCCTTGGCTTGAGGTCTCTGCGCCGCATCGACCTAGCGCGCCAGAAATTCTTTAACCCAGGACCACCACCACTAAACGGAAAAGGATCAGCGTCAAAGATGGAGAGGATTCATCTTCCCGACCCGATCATCACGTTCTGAGCTTCACCCAAGGACGACGACCAGAGGAGGAGCATCCGATGCCTCCCGCTCACAGAGAGCAAGGTGCTGTGCGCGGACCAGTCCGGGCGCGCCTTCCTCTTCGACGCCGAGACGCGGCACGTCGCGACCATGGCCAGCCTCCACAAACCAAAGGAGGATCCCCTCTCCCTCTTCATCCCCAACGCAGCCATCGGTCAGAACAAGGCCGACTTTCTAACGGACGAGGAGGAGTACGATGAGGACTGCGTCGGCACCCTCTTCGTCATGGAGAGAAGCCCCAATATGGAGCTGCGCGGCTACAAAGATCACCAGACGAGCGACCAGTTTGAGGCGTACACCTACGGCCACCAGCAGCCCAAGAAATCGTCGTTCAAGTCCTGGAATTGCCGACCGCTGCCACCGCCGCCCTACCTGCGTGACCCGATGTGGAAGAAGTTCTGCCACGACATCACCGCCTACGTGGTGGTCGGTGGTGGCACCCAGATCTTGATATCAGTGGAGGACGTTGGCACCTACTGCATGGACATCGCGACGCACACATGGAGCCCGGTTGGGAAGTGGATGCTGCCCTTGTACGGCAAGATCGAGTACGTGCCGAAGCTCGGTCTCTGGTTCGGCTTCACTGCCAAGCACCACCTGGCTGCCGCCGATCTCTCCGACCTCGACTCCAGGCCGCGGCTGGTTGGCGCCTGGAAGGAGTTCGACCCACCCGATGAGGACTGGGTTCTACTGCAGGGGCCTCAGCTTGTGAACATTGGCTCGGGCAGGTTCTGCATTGCGAGGTTCTTCAATACGACGATAACTAGCTACTAAGGCGATGATTTCATTGACCAGACGTTTGGTATCATAACCGGTGTGGAGGTGGTGCCACGTACCCACCAGGGCAGTGCCAACGGTGGCAAAGGCAACAGAATTGCAAGCAGCGATTGCAGT